CCCCCTTTGCTCTTCTTCAGGCAAAGAAACTGCCCTCCAGGTCACTGACACGCGCTGCAGGGCTCTCTCTCTCTCTCTCTCTCTCTCTCTCTCTCTCTGTGCGGGAAGGCGCTTCTGACAGCCAAGAAAGTGGCACTTCTGACAGCCAAGAATGTGGCACGGACAAGAAAGTGAAAAAATAAGAAAGCCACTCACCAAGGTCGCAGTGGTCACAGAGACAAAAAAGAAAGGGTTGTATTTGTCCACGTTCTAGCGGAAGATTCATTCGCATTTTGCACATTTGCTGAGGAGTGGAGCAAGGGCCCAAGTAGGGGAAAGGAATGAAACTCAACCCAGAACATGGAAAGGTACGTCGCTACTTTACTTTTACCTTTTTGCCAAGGCTCTGAGGCCCCTATCTGTGGTCCAGAACTGATCCTACTCAGAACGAATACAACGCACCGTATTCGGGGGAAGACGGTAGTGGTCCCCATTCGGGTAAAATGTGAATGAAGCAAGCCTCTTTTCGTTAAACCACCAGCACTTCCACTTCCTAGAGTCTCGCACCCGTTAACGAGCCATGACTTCAGGAAACGTAGGGGCTACTACAGGAGCGCTCAAATTCATCCGCCTTCAAAAAAAATAAAAAATAAAAATGAAAATAAAAATAAATCCGACTAGAAACGTTTCTTTTTTTTTTTTTTTTTCCCTGCGGCCCATAGCTGGGCCAAGTACTGGTGGTTTAAACCACCAGCACTTCCTAGAGTCGTACCCTTTAACAAGCCATGATTTATTTTAGGAAATGTACAATGTACCACTACAGGACCACCCAAATTCATCCCACTAGAAACGTTTCTACTCTATTCTTTTCCACTGCCGACAGCTGGGCCAAGTACAGGTGGTTCAACGAACCGGGCTGTGGCCCCACTGTATCAGTTGCCAATCCCATGCGATATCATGATAATCATTCTTGTACGAATTCTGCAATTTTTGGCGGGTCACGTCCGCACCCCTGTGGAGAAGGCAGTGGTGAGTATTTTTCCTTTTGCCCAACCAATTCAATTACCTGTCGAATCTGGACAGCACGGCCTTTCAGGGCTTTTTTTCAATTGTAATTATAGTATTATTATAGTATTATTACCGGGAACCCCGTAGCAGCCACATCCGTGATCAAGGCCCTAGTTGTACTACTTGCCATCCACCAAGATTTCGAATGCATCTGGACAAACAGATGTCCACATGCAATCAAAATGTTGGCGGATGGCGACTAGTGCGACGAGGCCCCAAGCCTCCAAGGAGGGAATATGGCCGTAGTTGCATTACTCGCCATCTGCCAAGATTTCCAATGCATCTGGACAAAAATGATGTCCACATGCAATCAAAATGTTGGCCTACGGCGAGTAGTCCAACCAGGCCCTATGCGGGAGCTGCACCCACCAGCAGGTGTGATACCTGCTACAGGAGGGGGGCGATACCGGCCAGGGGTCAGGACCGTGCTTCTTCGATGGGTGGCCAGTCGCTGTAACTCCCCTCGGGTGGTGGTCCCCTCCCCCTGTAAACATCAGCAGTCTCTGCTCAATGCCACTCTGGGGGACCAACGGCCTATCTCTACCGTCTTCCCCCGAACATAACGCACCCTTAAAATGAATGTATTCAAGCAATTTCCGCCCAGATGCAGCCAACATAAGGGTGCGTTGTGTTCGGGGGAAGAGGGTACCTACGGGCGCCAAGCTTACCCAGGAAGGCAAGGTTTGGGAATTGAACCCGAGACGTCCTAAATGCCAATTGCGTGCCTTACCAACTGCGCCAGGCCGCTGGATGGGTTTACCCCCGCCCCTAGGCCACTGGATGCTGTTGAGTATTTTGAGGCAAAAGGCACTTCCATACTTCGCGTGCGTTGCCGGAGACGACCGCAACACTCGGTGGTGGTGTGCTCAGTGTGCCCAATGTGCTCAATGTGCTGTTCAACCGTAGAGGGAATATGTAGGGAGCTCTGCCTACTGGCCTTCTGGTGTCCTCCTTCGTTCAAGTGCGAAGAGCAGAACAGGTATTATGGTAGAGGAGCAAGCGGGCGGTAGAAGGCGACTGATTGTGCAGCGACGAAAACCGACAAGTCCAACGCAAGAGGTGCGGAGTTCACCTTCAACTGTAGATGGCTCGCTTTTACCGACTCTCCTCCTTGTGAAGTCGTGGATCATGACTCTCTCTGTTTTCCTCTCTCTGTTTTCCTCTCTCTCTGTTTTCCTCTCTCTTGTCTTCCCGTCTGTCTGTCTGTCCTGTCTGTCTGTCCTGTCTGTCTGTCTGTCTGTCTGTCTGTCCTGTCTGTCTGTCCTGTCTGTCTGTCTGTCTGTCTGTCTGTCTGTCTGTCTGTCTGTCCAGCTGTCTATACTCGCGAAAGGAACAGAGGCCAGTTTTCCTGGAAATTCAAACACGAAATGCCAGATCACCATCGCTCCCACTCGCTCCCGCCCTCTCTCTCTCTCTCTCTCTCTCTCTCTGTGTGTGTGTGTGTGTGTGTGTGTGTGTGTGTGTGTGGTTTGAGCTGGCATTTGATGGACATTCTAGAGGCGAAAAGGAAAGAGAGTCCTACCACTTCCTTTTCCTCCTCTGGCATTGTAGATGGGAAAATGAAAGATAGTATACCACCTCCTCCTCCTCCTCCTCCTCCTCCTCCTCCTCCTCCTCCCCTTTTTCACCTTCCCGTCTGCCTGGTCTTCCTCTCGTATGCGTTTTAGGCTTCTCACTTATTCGAGTGAAATCATCATCGCAGGGAGCTCCTCCTCCCTAGTCTACAAAAACTTGGCGCCTCTTTTTGTTTTGTTTTGTATTGACTCCCATGATGATGAGCAGCCAGCCTGCCGGCCCTCCTCGTTGCGTTTCTCACCCTCCTCTCCTCTTCTCTTCTTGCTGTTCGTCTGCTCTTGTTATACGTCCTCCTCCTCCTGTTCCTCGTGTCATTCTGTACATCTTGGGACCGATCTGATGATGAAAAGAAGATGGGCCACTACCTGGCACCACTACCTCCTATTCCTTTCCTCGTCTATCTTACCCCTCCTATTCCTCTTAGCTCTTCGTGAAGACTGCTTCTCGTGTTTTTTTTATATATATATATATTGTCACATTGTGAATCAGAGTATATATATTTTTTTAATTTAATTTAAAATAAAATCCTCGTGTGTTTTTCAGCGAACTCCCTGTCCTGCCGTGTTTTTGACATGTGGACAACACGTCCTCTGTCAGGACTGTTTTGATGGGATGGTTCGTGCTAGCCGTCCTGCAGAATGCTGTGC